CCTATTAGTTTATTACGTTTTATCATATTGCCAGCAGTAATTCCAACTCTATGACAGTGTACCTGGGAGTGTTGCCCCCTTAGGGCTCTGGAAATACTGTCAGTCTGTGGTAAAAGCTGACATTACATGCTCGGTTTTATTGTTTAGACGCAGGACAAATGCTGCTCCCTCTGGCCACAAAGAAACAAGAAACCAGAAACCTGCTCCCATTGCTTCATGAAAACTCTGCAAAACGGCCTCTTTACTCTGATCTATCTACTATATGTTTACCCATTTTTACCAACAAATTTCCATAACTTCTCCATGCTTTTAAGCCAAATTTTACATTCATATATTCTCTGAAATGTCTGTGTAGAACGTCACATGAAAAATAATTTACCTGTCCATTTCTTAAATAAGGAGCCAGTCCAAAAGTATGTATACCAGTACTATGAGAACTTGTGCATGCAAATGAAGCTATCTGGCTGTTGGGGAAAGTCTGACCTGCAAAAGCTGGCTTGTGTCTTGACACTACTTGTGAGAATAACGTCAGAGAGAATTAGCCACCCTTAGTGCCAATTGTGCCTATGCAGTTAGAGCTATGTTTCTGGACAAGGCATCCAAAATGGTCCCTTATTGATGGTGGATGAGCGGGAAATGCTGCAGCTGGCAGTGGATGGTCACATTGGTCATCGCAGTAAACGCCGTTAATGGGAGTTCATTCAGCAGCAGCTTGGTGCTAAACATTAGCTACTTCCATGTTCTAAACGTCCAATGTTTAACTACTAAGTCCACACTTTCCATGTCTTGTGTCCTGATATTTCAGAAAAACCATGTCTTATACTTGTTCAGGTGAAATCAGACATTCCTGGCATTAGGCAAATTTACATCTCGACTGAGTAAAAGCTGCATCTCAGGTCTGATGTTAGCTACGCAGAGAACAACATAATGTTAAATGACGTGACTGATCTGCCCAAACATTTACACCATACATACAGTATATAAACTCTAATATACAGATGTTTGTGAAGCAGATTTCATGACTTTTCCAAAGTTTTCTGAGTTTATTTTTCCTTCAAAACTTATCCAGGCCTGGAAATGGCTATTTTCAAATTCCATGACTTTTCCAGGTTTTTCACAATCTGGAAATCCATCAGTAAAAAAAAAAAGAAAAAAAAAAAAAAAAAACATTTTTTTTTCTTCCTTTACCTCTGGAGGCACAGCCCGGAGTTTTTCGACTAACAGAAGTGCAGGAGCCTCGGCGATCGCTCACGCCCTTCACTTCCGGCGGTGCCCCCAGGGAACCGCCGTGTTGTTTACAAATACTTCGGGTAGAAAACCAGCAGAGTTTAGCTATATATCAATCACATTTTTCACGTCACTATATCACCGTGTAGACGAATCTGATGTTTGCTAAGTATGTAAACACAATGATTGAACAAACGTTACTATTTCTGTGTGCACGTTTTGTAATTAATAACATGGCTATCGTAGATTAGCTGGGCTAACCGTTAGCTGTTAACGTTAGCCATTAGCGGTGTCTGTAATAACCAAAGACTGTATAAAAATAAGGTAATAACTCAATAAACGGTCCGTGAATAAAATATTTTTCCAGCGGATATCTTAGTTACAACATGATTGAGCTAGCAAAGCAGTTTTGTGTTGCTATGCGTGGTATTTATTCAGTTATGGGAAATCACGATGTCTAGAAAGCATCAGTGGCTGCAGCTGACAGGGACAGTTAGCAAAGCTAACATCAGGATGTCATCTGTTAAAAGCCTCCTGTTGTCGGATACGACATGAAACTACTCCAGTTTGCTCAATCATGTTATAACTCAGACATCCGCTGGAAAAAATATTTTTTTCACGCTGATGAGACGGCGTTTTGGGTGGAACGGTCGCTATGGACGCGGAGCTTGCTGTGTCTGTAGGTACACATTTCCTGGGGACACCTGCACGTCTCGGCCACGCTCCCTCCATTGTGATTGGCTAAAGCACAGCATCGTTCAAACTCAAAGCCCCGCCCTCCCCCCCTCTGTAGTCGTCTTTCAAACAGGGCTGCCGACAGATTCTACAATGTCAATTGCAGAATCTGTCTTGAAAGATTAGGTTTTTCATGACTGGTCAAACCTTGATGCATATGCTGTCCTCTAATATCAGGATACCAACATCATTAAAACTGGGTGATAAACAGACAGTGTTTCACTTCTGCTTGAGAAGGAGGTTAAAAAGGCCTTTATGATTTTCTCTGCCCATTCATTCGCATTCCCCTTTGTGACAAAACACGTCTCTCATTCAGTAGAAAAAACTAAGAATAAGAAAACATCTGAACATATTGAAAATCGCACCACAGACCAAGCACATGCAGTGATTCACATACAAAGGCACGAGGTTGTCAGAAATATAAAAACAAACAGCCCCGAGGCTTCCCCCACTGGATTTGAAGAACTGCTTATGCAGAGGGATTATGAGACACATGACTGTGCTGGCAAACCCACAAGAGAAGGCAGGAAAAAAAAAAGACACGGAACACTCGTCTGCCTGTTGGGAGTAACAACCACACTTGCTAAAAAAGGAAAAAGGCCCACCTCTACTGGATACGATCATAGCACTTGTCCAGAGTCATGCCATAGTGCATCATGCCATGCCCTCAAACCACATTAATAGGTTTTTGAAGTGTTCTCCTCAACAGAAGAAAAAGGTTTAGGATGTAATTCTTGGAACTTAATTTTGTTCTACCTCACGAACAGGAACCTTCACAATTACAAACGTTTGGGTGGAGCTACCAGGACTTCCTAACTGTTCCCAGCCAACTTGTCCAGCTCCTGTGCAGCCTCCACTAGACTAGTTTCTAATATGTTGTATAGCCTTGTGATATATGTAGTTATTGTACCCCAGCAGTTTTGAACTTGAACAGCATATACACTCCCACACTCTTGTTACAGCCTCTGTCGGCTCTTGAATCAAGAGGAAGCAATACTGCCACAACAATCTACAGCCAAGTTATCAGTCAGGGCACTTGATGTGAGCAGCTCACCACTGTGTCTCTAGCACCGTCAAAACAAGCTAAGTGTTTATTCTCTGTATTGACTTTTGTATTGTGAGACTGGGGCACTACCTGGGGGCTAGGTCAGGCTCAATTTACAGAAAATGTACACCCACACTCACAGAAACGTGTTTCATTTTGGAAAGACTAAGGGCAGAGGTGTTGCTTCAAATGTTCTAATTTCTTCGTTTACAGACAAATAGCTTGACATGTTAAAAACTTTATGTTTCATGATGATAGAACATATTTTCTTTATTAAATCACTACACTAACTATATAGACCTGTTCTTATGAATGTTGTAATGTATGGCCAAACAGACCTAATCACAATGTTCATTTAAAATAACTTTTGGGTGGAAAACCCCTGCGTCACGTACATGAAATGAAACGGCACTGAGCAAATGCTGCCTCAATTGGTTAGTTTTTAGTGTTTAAAAAAAGTGAAAATAAACATTAGGTTAAGTGTACACTATATTTAGAATATTTTCACTGATTTACCCTGGCGTCAGACAGCCCTTCGAGAGGGAACTAAAGCTGTTATCTCCAAGCCACCTGACTCCACTGATAAGACAAGACTTTTTTTTTCACAAAACAAGGAAGTTGCTGGTCATTGCTGCCTCGATTGGTTAGTGTGTAAGGTAAAGCAGTGAAAATATTCCAAATGTAGCGTACACTTAAACTGATATTGATTTTTTAGGTGGATCCTTTTAGGTGGTTTTGCTGCAGCCATTGTCCACAGCAGTAAATTGCCTAGATTTCGTGCCTGAAGATTTGGTTTATCAAAGACGCTAGCAAGGCAACACAGTACACAAAATAAATGTGCAAAAACATCAGACAGTTCGGACCACCCTGTTTGACTATATATCTTCAAATGCTACAATTAGGGCTGAAAATAAAAACAGAAATAAACAAGTTTGCTGATTTCAGATATCTGTGCAACTGAAATCAACTGCCAGTTGCCTACTGGGAAACGAGGGTTACTGCTAGCAACATCATGGTGATTCAGTCTATTGAGATTTTTACATGTTGAGGCGACATCTAACAATAATTATGTTTATCAATTAATTTGTAAATACATTTCTTGAATCACTGTCTGACCGCTTCATCTATAAAATGCCTGAAAATGCACATCAAATTTCTAAAGCCCAAGTTGATGTGTTCAAATTACTTGTTACTTGCTGACCACCAGTCCAAAATCCACATAACACACACTATAAAAAAAATTACAAAATGTAAAAATTTGAGGAACAAAGTTTTTGTCATTTCTGCTAAACAATTTGCTTTTGTCTTTTTCTGAGTGGGAAGCTGTTGAGGGATCCTGTCCTTGTGACTGGTGTATCAGCAGACCTGCGGAAGTTAGCAAAAACGTTTGACTACATTATTCTCTCCTGTTGAAGCTTCCGACATCAAAAAGCAGCGGCTGGCAGCTACATGACAGCAGCGTTTGCAGTGACAAGGGCTGCAGGATGGGGGGATAGGCCACATCAAATTGGAGTGAAAAGGGGTAAAAAGCAGGAGCTCAGCAGGCTCTGGGTTGTGATGGCTTTCCACTCTGCCAAGGGATTTAAGAGGAGATTATGACGTCGCACTAGAGGTGGCAAATAATGTAATATCAAGTAGAAACAGCCCTTCTCATTCATCACCTTTTCTCTGACATTGTTGTCAGCATTTCCCCATGGGGAAGATGAATATTTTCCTTTCTCAACAGCAGACATATCGAGCTACAAAACAGCCGAAACAATACAAGAGAGAGAAAAGGACAAAAAGTAGTAAAAGAGCCTACATTCAGTTGCCAGTTTATTAGGTATACCTTGCTAAAACTAATGCAGTCTAATACAGCAGTACTGCATTAATCCAACCTTCATGAAGATTATACTGTTTTGTGCTGAAACTGTTTAAGAGAGCTGTTGGTGAGTGTTTGTGTGATGGTGCTGATATGTCTGTTATCTGTGTTTAGTGTAAAGTTCAGTCTCACCTGTATCTGTTTGAGCACTTTGGGTATGGGTTTACAGTTGAGTTTCTGACAGGCTTGTTTGTAGGAAGAGAGGATTTCCTCTACCGTCACATTCTGAGCTGTAAAAAAAAAAAAAAACAAAAAAA